TGCTAACCACAAGGCTGGTGGTTCAAACCCACCAGTCACTCCTTGGAAGGAAGGTTGGGCAATCTATCTCTGTAGGATACTGCCTCGGAAACACAAAGAGGGGTCACTATGAATTGGATCCGACTCGATGGCAGTGAGTTTCTTTATTTTTTTTTTTTTTGGCTTTTTATACAGATATATTTTGATACTGTACAGATACATAGACACATTCAAAGTACATGTATCTATATATCTATATCTATATAGAGAGAGATACATCTGGTGGTGCAATGCCTAAGGCATTTGACTGCTAACCAGCAGTTTGGTAATTCAAATCCACCAGCTGCTCCATGGAAGGAAGATGAGGCAATCTACTTCTGTTAGCCACCTTAGAAACCCAATCAGGGTCACTATGAGTTGGAATTGACTTGATGGCAGTGGGTTTGGTTTTTGGTTTGGTATAGATATACAAGGAGCCCTGAAGGCACCAGAGTTAAGTGCTGGGCTACTAACCAAAATGTTGTCGGTTTGAACCCACGAGCTGCTCCAGGGGAGAAAGATGTGGCAGTCTGCTTCCATAAATATTACAGTCTTGAAAGCCCTATGGGGCAATTTTACTCTGTCCTATACTTCACTATGAGTCAGAATGGATTTACTTATTCAAATGGCAACAGGTTGGGTTTGGTACAGATATATTTTCAAAGTATACAAATCTCTATATAAACAGTGAAAACTGTGAGAGCCAGAACTCAACTGGACTACTTTTTTTTTTTTTTTGGATCTTGCAAGTTTTCTACCTTTGACAGGGTGCAGTCGTACCACTTTTATATTGTTGGTGTTAATGGAAAATCTTTGAGTTTCCTTCCCTGATAAGTTTGTAAAAAAAATACATTGTTCTGGCCTTTTGCAGGTTTTACTGTATGTATGTATATAAACTCACTACCACAGAGTCAATTTCAACTTATAGTGACCCCCTTTGGGTTTCCAAGGCTATAAATCTTTATGGAAGTAGATTGCCTTATCTTTCTACCTTGGAACAGGTGGTGGGTTTGAATCTCTTCACCACCAGAGCTCCTTAGGATAGATAGATAGACAGACAGACATTCAAAGTACATACAAGATCAAAACACATCTGAGGGATCACAGCCTCAAGTTTAGCAAGTGAGGAGTGTGGGAATTATGTTCTGCATCCAACATATATACTTTGAAATAAGAGTGCTGGTAGAATTTGTACCTTCCATGTCAGAGACACAGATCTATTCCCAGCCAATGTGCTTCCTGCATAGCCACCACCTACCTGTCAGTGGTGGCTTGTGTGTTACTATGACACTGAACAGGTCTCAGCAGAGCTTCCAGACTAAGATTTCTAAGAAGAAAGGTCTGGTGATGGACTTCTGAAAATCAGTCAGTGAAAATCTTATAGGTCACCACAGTCTAATCTGCAACTAATCATGCGGATCGTGCAAGACTGGGCAGCATTTTGTTGCATTGTGCATGGAGCCTTCTTGATGTAGCAACAAACTAGCAACAACATACTTTGAAAAAATAGTCCCTTGAATAATTTTATGGCCTTTTTCACATGTCTCAGTCATAAAATAACGCATATAATTGTTCAGTCAGCAGGTGTTGCCTAAAGAGACAGCATTGATCGTAAATGTTACCTAATTAAAAATGCTTTCTTATAGGTTAAGCTGAATAGCACTTGGATTAGAACCTGACAAATTACTCAAAGTAAATCCTTAATCATTCAAATTCACATTTCTTAAGTGCCACCTATGGGGAGCTCGAGTAGTGTATAGTGTCTAAGGCATTTGACTACTAACCGGAAGGCTGACAGTTCAAACCCACCAGCCACTCCTCAGAGGGAAGGTTGGGCAATCTACTTCCACAGTGATACTGCTTCGGAAACCTAAGGAGGGGTCGCTATGAGTCAGGTCCCACTCCCCGGCAGTGGATTTGGTTTTTTGGTTTATGGGCAACTATCCATGCTAAGATGTTTTAAGAAAAAGAAAGATGTCATAGAAGTGATAGAGCAGAATTTCTGGTCTCAGTCTAACTTGGGAAAAGATACACAGCTAACTCTGAGACCGAAGGTTGAGGACTCGAAGAAAGGCATGAGCCAAGTGCTAGGCTTGTGGAGGAGTGGGATTAATTTAAAATAGGACAATTTGGGGAGCTCTCATGGACATATGGTTTTCAAGCTAGGCTTGGAAGGATAGGTATCACTCTGAGAGGCACAGATGAGGGGAAAGGTGATTCAAGACCAAAGAAACAACCTGAACAAAGCTTCAAGGTGTGTGTTTTCAGGTAGTCAGTCAACATGTTTGAATAACAGTGTTGTTCTTAGCTCCATTGAATTGTGCCCAACTCACAGTGATCCCATGCGTAGCTGAGAGAAGAGTGGCTTGATCCTGCGCCATCTCGTGCCTTCTGCCGTGGACCAGTTACGACTGAACAATATCCCAACGTGATCTACAGGGTTTTCACTGGCTGATTTTCAGAAGTGGATTGCCACCCCTTTCTTAGTCTTTCCACCTTCGTATGGAAGCTCCACTGGAGCTTATAACAACATGCAAGCCACCACTGACAGGTGGATCGTGGCTGCATATGGGGTGCGTTGGCCACGAGACATTTTTGATTCAGCGGTAAAATTCTGTCTTCTCATTGGGATACCTGGGCTGAAAAACAACAGATTACATTTGTTGAGTGCTTACTGTATGGCTGTGTGTGTGTGGGAAATCTCTAGTGAGTTCAGGGCTATACTCATACTAAGGTATTGGGACTAACTTACAGGGAGTTCACGGGTAGCAGGCTGGACAGATAGGAGAGAGAGAAAGAGAGAAAGAGAGAGAGAGAGAGAGAGAGAGAGAGAGAGAGAGAGAAACCACAGCGCTATAAAGCTACAGGCAATTTTTATACTGAAGTGCACAAAAGGTGCTCCTTGCCAGGCTCACATGACCTTCGACTCTCACTCCTGCACATCCATGTTCTAGAAAGTAGAGCTTTGAGTCCAGGTGTCCTTCAAAGACTGGCTAATAGCCTGGCATGTCTGCAAAAAATGGTCAACAAGACAGCCTGATAAGCCCCTGCAGTGACTTTATCAGGACCATCACCTTCTCTAGGCATGCACAATGTTTACCCTACAGCCTTGTTGTTGTTGTTGTTATGTGCCATAGAGTCAGACCTGACTCATAACCACCCACCCTACCGCCTAGAAAAATTCAAAGCTATCATTGTTAGTTGTTAGAAAGTCAGTTATGACTTGTGGTGACCCCATTAGACCCATTTTACAGATAAGGTAACTGAGTTACATAAAAGTCATGAAATGTACTCAAGATCATGTAGCTAGATAGTAGAGGAGCCAGGATTGAAATCTTCATGACTTCAATCATAAGCATGATACTGTAGTTTGTACATATAGGTAGAAATACAAAGTGCACTGGGACCACAGCAGAAGTCCTTCTGTGCTATCCCAAAATGTTGTACTTCATGACTAAATTACCAAGGAAAGAGGAACTATCTTGTATTTTGTATTTGAAAGGAAAAGAAATAAAAAAGTAAAAAAAAAAAATCTGTATTATTATTTAGAATAATTGGCTACTCACCCACTGCCCTCTAGTCGATTCCAACTTATAGTGACCCCTATAAGGGGGGTTTCCAAATTGGTAAATCTTTATGGAATTAGACTGCCTCATCTTCCTTCAATGGAATAGCTGGTGGGTTTGAACTGCCAACCTTCTGGTTAGCAGTTAAATGTCTTAGTTACTGTGCTCCTTATTGATTGTCTAGAGCTCTCCAATATAGTAGCCAGAACTATACTCTTGAATATGGTGGTCACTAGCCACATGTGGTTATTGAGTGTTTGAAATATGTTGTTGTTGTTGTTGTTATGTGCCCTCGAGCCGGCCCCGACTCATAGTGACCCCTCCTTGGGTTTCTGAGGCAGTATCACTACGGAAGTAGATTGCCCAATCTTCCTTCCAAGGAGTGGCTAGTGGGTTTGAACCACCAGACTTCTGATTAGCAGTCAAGTGCCTTAGGCACTACGCCACCAGAGCTCCCAAATTTACTATATTTGAAATATAGTAAATCCAAATTGAGAGGTGCTGTAGGTGCAAAATACACACTGAATTTCAAGGATCTAGTATAAGAAGAAGAATTTAGAATATCTCATTAATAATTTTGTATGTTTACCCATGTTGAAATGGTAATATTTTAGATATATGTGATTAAATACAATATATTTTGTATTTTACTTTTTTTTTTTAACCTGTTTCTTTTCCTTTTTGTTAATGGGGTACTAGACAATTTACAATTACCTATATGGCTCACATTATATTTTTTTGGGCAGCAGTGGTCTAAAGCAATTAGATATTTTACTAGCCAACTCTAATGAAGGGCTTCCTTACAGCATTCATCTTTTAACCACATTGTTTCCTTGCTTTCTGGTTATTTGACGAGAAAAAATTTAAAAGGCGCCCCCTTTGTAAAGGTTTCAGAGCCCTTAGAATTTCCTTTTTCACTTGTCCCCAACCACAAACAAATGATCAATGTTATCTGTGGATGAGGAGTCAACATTTTACAAAGGCAAAGGGGTGAAGTGCAAAAAATAAATTTCCAGCCCCTGAACAGTATGAAGTAAAAGTGCTTTCACAGGATCCCGCAAGAATGGCACAGGTGGATAGAATGGGTCCATCTCATCATCAGAAGACCCAAGGAGTTGAAAGGAAATTCTAACTACAACCCCAAAATGCCACAAAACCATAGTTATTAATACAAACTAACTAGCATCCCTGCCTATCTGTCACCATCTCATCTTAAAAAAACTTGTGAAAAATACGTAATCCTGATGAGACTTCAATCAGGTATAAATACTAGCAGCTAAGAGAGATGTGGCACAGTGTTCTGATCATCAGCACATCTGCTATTAGGAGAGAAAGATCAGCCAAGTCTTTTGCCCTGATCAACTTAATACAGAAGCTACTGATTTCAGTGTCTGTGGCCTAACTTTCTCTGCAGCGATGAGTTATACAAGTTATATCTTAATTTTTCAGCTTTGCATCATTTTCAGTTCTTCTAGCTGCTTCTGCCAGGCTACTTTTTTGAGAGAGATACAGACCCTAAAGGAATATCTTGTAAGTATGGCCTTTTAGTGATACTTGCTTATGGTTTGAAAATGATTGAATATGGACTCGCAGTTGTTTCTGTGATAGGCTGTTATTTCTAGCCCATAGTCATTTTGAGAAGACTTGGTGTTATTAATTGTTGCCTGGATGATCTAGAAATTACTTTAACATTCTGTTCAATTTGCTGTAGAGACTAAGAGGGGATTCATGTCTTTCCTAAAAGATGGGCACACTATGGCAATAAATCATAGTAATATGTTAATAATTTTATGGTAAAAATCCGTTCACAAGTTGTGAAAAATCAAGTAATCCATATATTGAAAAAAACAACTGGCAGTCATTGGTTAAGCACTTGGCTGCTAACCAAAACGTGATGGTTCGAACCCACCAGCGGCTCCATGGGAGAAAGATGTAGCAATCTGCTTCCCTAAAGATTACAGCCTTCAAAACCCTGCAGGCCAGTTCTACTCTGTCTCATGGGGTCATGTTGTTGTTGTTTTGTGCCATCGAGTCGAACCAGACTCATAGCAACCCCTCCTTGGGTTTCCGAGGCAGTATCACTATGGAAGTAGATTGTCCCATCTTCCCTCCGAGGAGTGGCTGGTGGGTTTGAACTGCCAGCCTTCTGGTTAGCAGTCAAGTGCTTTAGGCACTACGCTACCAGAGCTCCCCATGGGTCATAGTGAGTCAGAATTGATCCAACAGCAACAGGTTAGAAGTTAGTGAATTCTCAGACTACTATTAAAGAGGCATAAAAGCTCAAGATTAACACTTGAAAACGTTAATAGGAAACAATTTCTCAACTAAAGTAAAAGAAGGTGATGTTCTTAAAACCATGACTTAAAACTCATCACTTAAATACCTCCAGAAGGTGGTTTCAAAATTTTACTGCCCTATATGTATTTCCTGCAAATTCCTCCTTAACTCAGTAACTTGCTGAGATTTTGTAGGAGTCATGATTTTGGTTTAGTTTTTTAAAATTTTTGTTTTGCTTTGTTTTATGAGTTTCTTTTTCAATTTTATTTATAGTTAATGGAAATAATTTTTGCATACTAAATATTTTATTTGTCCCAAATTTAGATATTATAATAATAGTTTTATGAAGTATTTACCCATTCAAGAATGACTTTATTCTTGCAAAGTAAAACCAAGTCATTTTTATAGTGGCTTTTTCTTTCTTTCTTTCTTTTTTTTTTTTTAACTCTCTTGAAAAGCCAACAAATAATATATTGGAGGGCACAGGTTGATGTTATAGATACCTATGCCATAGGGGCAGTGTTTTCTAGTGGGATATTTTTACTGATTTTTTTTTTTTTTTTTTTAACTAGGCTTGTGAAAACATTCTTTAGCTTATTATAATTATTTGGGACATTTCCAGTATCACTATCCTTATTGGGTTCTTTAGTGACATTGCAATCTAAGGGTTTCACAAGAAAATAAGAAAGAACGAAGATCATGTTAGTCCTTGGTTCTATCTACCATAACAATAGAACCCCATAATAGCTATTGGGAATAGGACATTTTTGACAAGAGAATCAATGAATATTGCCAGTATCTGAATTCAATAAAACTTTAAGTACATTTGTAGGGCAGTTTGTTGACTAATTGCAAGCCAATTTATTTCTCCTCTTTTCTTTTTTTTTTCTAGAATGCAACTAATTCAGATGTAGCTACTGATGGCCCCCTTTTCTTAAACATTTTGGAAAACTGGAAAGAGGTAAGTTGGACATCTCCTTTGGGCTGGACTTTCCTGCTCCTCACTTCTGGTGGACAAACTCATAGTATCCTTTATGTGCTCTTGTCTCCCAAGGAGAGTGACAAAAAAATAATTCAGAGTCAAATCATCTCCATTTACTTCAAAATCTTTGAAAACTTAAAAGGCAACCAGATCATCCAAAAGAGTATGGAGACCATCAAGGAAGATCTCTTTGTTAAGTTCTTCAATAGCAGTGAGAGCAAACAGAAAGACTTCCTAGACCTGCTTAAGATTCAGGTAAAGTGGTCTTAATTCTTTTTAACTCCTAAAAACCAAAAACCAAATGCACCGCCGCCGAGTGGGATCCAACTCATAGGGACCCCTCCTTTGGTTTCTGAGGTGGTATCATTAAGGAAGTGGATTGCCCAATCTTCCTTCTGAGGAGTGGCTGGTGGGTTTGAACCACCAGCCTTCTGGTTAGCAGTCAAATGCCTTAAGCACTATGTCACCAGAGCTCCTTTTTAACTCCCAGAGGATATAAATTAACTATTGGGTACAGTTATTAAAAGGATGAAATAAATCTATGGTGGAAACTTCTACTTACTAATTCTAGTTGTGTTTTTTTTTTTTTGTTGTTGTTGTTCCAAACTCAGTATGGGAATTTATAAATTTGTCATTTGGAAAAATATCAGCATTGTGACCATTGCACAAAGACAGGTGAATGGACACCATCTAGTGGGAGGAATTGGTGAAGAAATAGAAGGGAGTATTGGGGAGTCCCTGGATGGTGGAAATGGTTAAAGTACTTGGCTACTAACTGAAAGGTCAGAGTTTGAGTCCATCCAGAGACTCCTCAGGAGAAAGGCTTGGCTCTCTATTTCCAAAAACTTAGCCACTGAACACCTCTTGGAGCTAAGTTCTAATCTGACACACATGGGGTTGGTGTCACCTTGACAGCAACTTTTTTTTTTTTTTGAGAAGTAATTGTTGTCCCTTGTTTATGTGATGGAAATTCTCCTACTCTGTATAGCAGGTAACTTGTGTTAGTGGAAAGAGGAGTGGGAGGGGGTGAGAAGATTTTCATTCTCCACTCAGCACTGCCACCAAGGGACTCCGTGACCTCAGATGAATCACATGGCTGGTTGGAGCTCAGTTTCCTTACCTTTAAGGGAACATGGGGCTCACTATATAATTTCTGTGGTCTCCTTTGCCATACTCTACAATGTCATGTATAGAAAGGGAGAATGAGATAGAGGAAAGCTAAGGCCTTTGAAAGGAGCCCTAGTGGTTAAGTGGTCAAGCATTTGGCTGCTAACTGAAAAGAAGGCAGTTCAAATCCACCAGCCACTCTGAGGGAGAAAGATGAGACTCTCTGTTTCTGAGACAATGTCTATTTACAGCCTTGGAAATCCTATGGGGCATTTCTACTCTGTTCTTTAGGGTTACTGTGAGTTAAAATTGACTCTATGGCAGTGAGTTTGGTACAGAAGGCCTTTGATGAAGCACTAGGGGGCATCCCACTGTCAGGCTGTGGTCAGCTTCTTAGATTGTACAGTTCGGATAGGGATGAGAGTGTTGTTTGCTTGCTTTTAGAGGGGGCAGGAAAGGTAGCATTTATACCTCATAAAAGAATTGTTTTACCAACTTTTGGATACAAGAACATCTCAGCTAAAGAAATCCTCAAACTTCCAAGCTTTATCCCATGAAGTTGTGTTGAATCTTAGTTAAGACTTATTGATTCTGAAGGGTAACTGAAGCATAAAGACAAATCTTATTTTTCAAAACTTTATCTAGGAGACAACGGCCTCTAGATTCATCTGAGTTTGGCTTTGATATTAATAGGCATGAACAATAGGGACAAGTGTCCTGTTAAGACCTGTTCTCTCAGGATTTGTGCCCACTTTTCACACTACCTGGTTCTGGTCCCTCCTCCTGTGTCATGTAAGCCTCAGGAACTGAAATCAACAAGTGCTTGTTCTTCAGGATGCCTCTAGTCTCAAATACTACAGGTTGTTAGAAGATGTCTTGCAAACAGTATAAAACTGTACTGCTTTCCACTGTGTTTTATAATGCTTAGCAGATTTCCTGTGGTTACAGGCTAGAGGTGAAGAAAGAACTTGTCCTAACCCAGTACTGCCTGGGCTTGGTGTTCAGTCCTGCATAAATCTCTTAATTTCTTGGCAATGCTTTGACCACTGGAGAGTGAAATTTGTCACTTGCAAACACACAGCCAGTAGGGAAGTCTACTCTGCTGTAACTGGGGCTTGCAAGTAAAAATATCTGTTGGTCCCCTCATCCTTCTGGAAGTTCCAGGCCCCCTGCTTCATCAAGGGTAATCCTGAATGAGCTCTCAATTGTCCTCTTTTGTTCAATTACTAATATATTTTAGACATGTTACACCCTTTTAATAATCAGTTGCTGTGGTCTAGACATCTTAGTCATTCTCAGAAATGTGGCAAGGTGATCACAGTGTTTCCAGCATTGGAAAGAATACAGTGGCAGAGCTAAGATGAAAATACATTGTTCTCATTTTTTTAAGCATGGAATCACCTAAATGCTCTTATGGTTAGAGGGAAGAATTGCAAATAGTTCAATTTGCTAGCATAGAAAGATGGGTTAGAAGAATTTTGCTGCGATTCCTAATTTTAAATGTATATCAGTAAATATGGTTACATATGAATATGATGATTTTTAATCACATTACAGTAATGATGACTGGCTTAATTGTGGAGACCTTAAAAATGATAGTTTTTATCATTTTTGGACTTAGTGCTTACAAAGTACTTAACCTATAGTAATGGTTCTTAAACTTTGATGAGTACAGAAATTCCTGGGAAGATTAGTGAAGGCACTTAACTCTCAGGCCCTCTCCTACTTCAGGCACCTGGGTGTCCAGGTTGTTTTGGTACACACCAGAGTTGAGAACCATTGACCTTTAGTAACTCATTTGATACTTAGAGCAAAGCCTAAAATATAAGGTGACAGGATCGATAGAGAGCCAAATTGTCATTGAGTATGAGGTTTAGTGACTGGTTCAAAGTCACAGAGTTATTGCGTGCACAGGACTTCAAATTTGCATTTTTCCCTCACTCTACCTCAGCGCTCTTTTCACTATTTACTTCTGAGAATCCCACAGCAGTAAATTCAAGGATATGTGATGTGTACCATCATATTACAGCATAATTAGCAATTTAACCATAATTTTAGCCTTAACTACTGAAGAATTAAACACAATGTATTAAAGTAATATATTGCTAGTGAGAATCACCTTTGGGTTTTTTTTTGAAGGAACAATCCCATTTTCAGTGAGAATGACATGAAAAGGAACAGCAGAATATCTTGATGTCTGAAATTAATTTTTATTTTATTTTTTTCCAACAGGCAAATGAGCGGAAGGTCCAGCGCAAAGCAATTAGTGAGCTCCACAAGGTGATGCATGATCTGTCACCCGGATCTAACGCGATGAGACGAAGAAAGCGTCAGAAGGTTTAAGGCCAGACAACGTCAGAAGAATGGCCGCCCTGCCTGCAATATTTGAATTTTAAAATCTTAATCTATTTATTACTATTTAATATTTTACATTATTTATATGGGGAATATTGATTAGACTAATCAATCAAAGATGTATTTATAATAGCAACTTTTATGTAATGAAAATGAATATCTATTAATATATGTGTTATTTATAATTCCTTTATCCTGTGACTATTTCACTTGACTTTTTTTTTTTTTTTTTTTTGGTCTGACTAACTAGGCAAGATCATGTGATTGTAAAGCTTTTATCTCAGGGGCCACCTAGGTACCAGACTGAGCAAGACCCTATGGGTTGTACCTTTATTTTTACTGATGATACAGTGAACACTTACATATGGCACCATCTAGTCGCTGCTATTTGGAACATGTCTGCATTCTGAGCTACTGCTTTAATGGTATGTCAGACAGCACTTGAATGTATCAGGTGATATGATCCATAGTTTCCTGATTAAAAACATAGCATCTCATGTGATATTACACCTGGTGCTTCAGAATATTGTTAACAACTGTGACTGTACCCCAATGGAAAGTAACTCATTTATTTAATATATGAATAAAATATACTTTTGCAACTATTTATGCAGTATCAGAGTTTTTCTAAGTGAGAACTGGGTGAAATGAAGCATACGATTAATTGTTGTTGTTGTTGTTGACATGTGCTGTGGAGTTGGACCTGACTCATAGTGACCCATCCTTGGGTTTCCGAAGTGATATCATTACGGAAATAGGTTGCCCAACCTTCCTTCCAAGGAGTGGCTGGTGGGTTTGAACTGCCAGCCTTCTGGTTAGCAGTCAAGTATCTTAGGGACTATGCTACCAGAGCTCCTTATAATTAATTAGTACAAGTAAAGTAATTTTCCTTGTGGAAATTTCAAAATTGGATTTAGTCCCATTAAAGGCGGTGTTTCTCTTCACTGGCAATTTGTTGCTTTTCACTGCCTTAGTGGGCAGTTGTTTGAATAATCTTCTCATGATATAGATTAATTATGTCTTCATCAACTTTGGAGCTTCTGCTATGAAAAAGAGTCCAAACTGCTTGTCTTGGCACATAAGCCTTTATTTCCAGCTCCTTCCCCAATTCCCCACTCTACTCCTCATCTTGGCCTTCCCTCTCCCCATTCCCAGCTTGAGCAAACATCTTTAGGTATGAGATGATTAGTGTGAGCTCTAGAGAGAAAGGCCTGGTTTGGAATCTGGGTTCTGCCATTACAGGAAATGTGATTGTTCATGATTTATTTATGTTCTCTAACTTTGAATTTCCTTATCTGAAAAAGAGGAATAACTGTGCCTTCCTCATTATATTATGGAGCAAGTTCATTCTTTAACTCAAGAAATATTTACTGGAGCACCCACTATGTGACTGGTATGTTCCAGGTGCCTGAGATACCTTAGTAGACAAATAGACAAGGATCACTGCCCTTGAGGAGTTTAGAATTTAGCAAGGAGGATATAGGCAATAAATAAAATACATAATATGTCAACAAATTACATGGTATGTTAGAAGCTCTTAGGTGCTATGGTAAAACAGTGAAAATAGACAGGATGGGAAGATTGGGAATGTTATGCATGAGATAGGACAGGAAGGTTAGAAGTTTAAGTAGGTGGACCATAGTAGGCCTTATTGAAAAAGGAGACATTTGACTTGAAAGAGGTAAGGGAGGTAGCCATTTGGATTCCAGGGATTAGGGTGTGGACATCTTTGGGGGCCATTATCCGAGCAACTATAAGAAGTCAGAACTTCAGCAGCCGAAGAGGGAATTCATGTGTGGCCTGTAGTGGAGTGGGATGTGAAAGATCAAGCAGGATAAGAAGGACATCCATGGAGTAGGGTGGCCCAGTATGGGGAGTCAGAGTCTGAAGGAGGCTAGGAGTGATCCACTCAGGGGGAAGGAATGTTGGTGGCTATGATACTGGTTACTTGCAGGGAAATCGATTAAATAAATAAACATATTAAGAATAATGGAGCTCAAATTTCTCACTGTTGGAGAAGGAAGTTACAAGTACATAAAAGGAGAATATTAGAATAAACTCTATGATATTGAATTGGACTGGTATGCACCAGTCTAAACCTATGGTTCTATATATACATATTGTTGTTGTTATGTGCCATCAAGTCGGCCCCGACTCATAGCGACCCCTCCTTGGGTTTCCGAGGGAGTATCACTACATAAGTAGGATTGCCCAACCTTCCTTCTGAGGAGTGGCTGGTGGGTTTGAACCTGCCAGCCTTCTGGTTAGCAGTCAAGTGTCTTAGGCACTATGCTACCA